TTTTGTGGAGTACTGAAAGCCGTTTTTGATGATGATGGGCAAAAAGGTGCCGAAGCCGTAGAGGATCGTTACGACGGCGATCTGGATGATGCCGTGGACCCACGACTTGATGTCCTTTGCGGCTTCTTTGATGTCGGCTTTGCCATGCTTGCCTGAGCCGCCAGAGTAGGCTTCCATGCGCTCGGCACGTTGGCGCATGATGGCCTTTTCGGCGTCATTGAGAAAGTACGCGGTTTCGTAGTTTTTGGGCACAACGAAGATGCAGCAGACCGCCCAGGCGATGGTAATGATTCCTTCAATGACATAGAGCCTGTTGGAGTCAGCTCTCGAGCTCAATTGTGCAGAAAATGCGGACACATCGTGCACTCACCATCGCCATCCGGGCCATCCGCGAACCCCGTCCATGTACAATATGGCCCACGCGATTAGACCACCAAATGCCCCCGATAACGCGGAAGCGATGAAAAGGTACGCAACGCGCACACCGAGTTCCTCACGCGTGTACCAGTTGCACAAGAAAAGGGTCATGGATGGGAAGAGACATCCTTCGAAGAATCCTAGGAAGATGCGCGTTGTGACGAGTCCTCCAAAGCCCTGGACGAAGCCGGTACAAAGACATACGAGGCCCCAGCAGAATGTGATGGTTGGAATGACGCGGTTGAACTGGAGGCGCTTGACGAGCACCGAAGTTGGAAACTGAAGCGGTCAGAACTGTTTCATGATGGATTCGCGTGTATACACACCTCTGCGAGAATGTAGAAAATGTAAAAGACGGAAACGGCAGTCTGGAATCGTCAGCACCCTGTTCAAATCCAGGTTCTCAGAGTAAATTCACATTCAACTGGCTCCCCTTCAGTCCAATATCATCCGTCATCCCTTGCGTCGCCGCAAACCCAATATTCCCGCGGTCCAAATACGAAATAAGCATCAAAAGCATCATGACGGGCGCCACGAAGCAATCCAGCTTCCGCACCAATGCCGCCTCTTTCTTCTTCGCATCGACCGATTCGGGCGACTCATCTTGCTGTAGGTACTCGCGCGTAACCTGCTGGTTCTTCTCGTCCTCTAGCGAGACCACCTCCTTGTTATCGACGTCGGCCATGTTGCTGTCGCGCTACTCCGCGATGAATGATGATCCAATAACAACAACCGGAGGCACAGAGATGAAAAAGCAACAAAGGCACGATGCAGAAAACGTGACTGATGCAGGAAGCCTCAACCCATCTTTGTACGGCAGATCCTGCCTCTACCTGCTCTCCTGAGAGCGCCACGGCGTGCAAAGCGGGGATTAGCTTGCCAAGAAAAGCTGGGGTAGGCCCTTACTTGTTGAGCTGGGCACCGGGCGTTTGCTTATCGCCTGTCTTTTTCCGCAAAGGGTTGGATGTGGCCGGGGCGTGTGCGAGTCGGAGGAGGATGACGGCCAAGAGGCGCTACGTCGTTGCTAGCTAGAGGCAAACGGCAAACTCCAATATCGGGGATGTGGGGAAGGTTTGGGGTACAAGGGGGAGCGGATGCGGGGATGGTGGGATGGGCGAAAAGAGGGGTTCGCATGGGTCTCGCGGTTGTGCGAGTCAAAGTAGCTGAGGGCAGGAACGCCGTGTGGCCCGTCAAGTTGGGGAAAAGAAGTGGCAGTTTGAGCATTTGTTGACTGGAGAAGAAAGAATCGGACGCAAGCAACCTTTCTACCTCTTCAAGATAGTAGCCAAAAAGCGTTGACCAGAGCATCGCGCGAGCTTGAACGATCTTGTCATCTTAACAAGCGCTGATCAGCCAACATGTCGTCGCTAGACAAGACAGTGGCCTTTATCGGTATTATTGAATGGCAGAGTGTATGCGGCAGACATATTGACACTTTCTAGGCCTCGGTGTCATGGGCTATCCCATGGCTCTCAACTTACGAAAGGGCCTAGATTCCTCATACACTCTACTAGTATGCGATGTCGTACCTGACGCAATATCGCGCTTCCAAAAGGACGCCGAAGGGAAAGGGCCAGTCGAAGTAATAAAAAGCGGACACGAAGCTGTGCAAAGATCGGTGAGCCCTGGTCGTAGAGAACATATGCAACCAAGATGATGCTGATCAAATACAGGCGATGACCGTCACCATGTTGCCCGATTCCGCTGCAGTGAAGAAAGTCTATCTCGACCCCTCAAACGGAATCATCGCAGGCGCAGAAGCAGCAGCAAAAAAGGACGGCAAGAAGCGGATCATAATGGAATGCGGCACCATCGAAACGGCGACGATCCTCGAAGTCGCCAAAGCAACAAACGAGTCGAGTGTCGCATCCTCGCTCACCTTCGTCGATGCGCCTGTATCAGGTGGGCCCATGGGTGCGCAGGACGGCACACTGACGTTCATGGTGGGCACCAACAACAAAGATGTGTTTCCCACAGTCCAGGACACGCTCGCGCACATGGGTAAGAAGGAGGCCGTATTTCTGTGCGGCGACGTAGGAGCCGGAACTGCTTTCAAGGTCATCAACAACTACCTCTCTGCCATCACATCGCTCGCAGCGTCCGAAGCGCTCAACATCGGCTCCAAGATGGGGCTAGATGTCAAGCTCTTGACCGATGTCATCAACGTGAGCGGTGGCCAGTGCTGGGTAACTAGCAAGAGCAACCCCGTGCCAGGCATCCAGGCGAATGTGCCTAGTTCGCGGGATTACGAGGGAGGCTTCAGGATCGAGCTGTGCGCAAAAGTGTTGAAGATGGGTAGTGATCTGGCGGAAATGGTGGGCGCCAGGACCATCTTGGATAAACCGACACTAGAGGCATTCGCTGAAGCCAAAGGCGATAGTCGATATGCAGGAAAGGACGCGAGAGTCGTGTACAAGTGGTTGAATGAGAGCGAAAGGAAATGAATGAAGAATCTTGCTACTCCTCGTTATTCTCGCCATCGCTGGCTTCAGGATCCCAGATCTTTCTAATCGTCTTCATGATAAGTTCATCTTTGACCCAGCCCTGATCAGGCCACCCGTTGCGCTGCATGAAAATCCTGCATTGCTGCTCTTCAGACTTTTCGGAGGAGGAAGGATAGCGGACTTCATGGTGAGAGTGCGGGATCTGTCGTCAATGTCAGTTCGCAAACTTGAGACATCCACACAACGAGACACCTTACGACTTCCAAGTTCCGGAATTCGGTCTGGAGTCTCTCAAAGAACTCCTCACAATAGTACGTTTGCCATTCTCTCCAGGATTCACCATCTGTGCCTTCTTTTTCCATTAGGATCTCCCCTTCATCTGCCAGTTCTTCTAGCTCCTGCAATCATAGTCAGCCACTAAATTCTCGTACTTCTCGTACAACCACGACAAAAGAAACGAACCTGGCTCAGTCCTCCACTGATCGGGCCAACCACGCCGTCAGAGACGTCAACCAGTGTGAGTGTCCCTCGGTGCGTGTCGAACAGTATAAAGCACCCCTCCGAATGCTCGGCCTCGGCAATAGTGACAACATGTTCTGGAGTCAGGAACCGGTATTCATCCGCATCGCGGGTCTCCCCTGGGCCCACCACGTGACATATCTCCATTCCTCCCCTGTCAGAATCGGAACTGATTGATCCATACCGTACCGGTTTCGTGTACGGATAGATGTCGACAAAGTAGATGAAGTACGGCAAGTGACGCACGAGATCAATGACAGCATCCGTCTTCTTCAACGTGAGCGGGGTGATGTTCGTCCAGCCGCTTCCTGCAGGCGCGAGCTGGAGACTGTCGTGCAGGTAGAAGTTGATGAGGAATTTGTAATAGTCTGTCACTGCGCTTACGACGTCGTCGCGACAGTAGGCTGTGTTATGCTCAGGAATGAGTGATCGATCCAGTTCTGAGCTGATGAGCCGACACGTCAGGAGGAGATTGAGAGTATGGCAGGGATCTGCGTTGTAAGTGCATTCGATCAGGCCAGTTTTTGCGTCGAACACTGGCATGTCGAGAGTACATGCAAACTCGTAAATACAGTTGCGAAGTTCAGCTGGCAGCCGGAACAGAGCGCTCTCGGATTGAGGGTCTGGGATTGTGTTGGTCATTACGAAATGCGTAGCAATTGGCGTAACTTTAGTCGTTGAAGCCGAAGTACGGTAATTTTGCACCAACTTTTCAAGAAGAAAGGATAGTTTGCATTAACGCGGGAATGCGCAAAGAAAGAGCTCGCTGAAGAAAAATTTGAAACGTGGGAAGGCCAAGACATTCTAGAGGATCGTGAATCATGCCACAGTAACTCCGCTCTGCAAGGAAAGTGGATAGTTATGCGATAAGCGGACTAGTCATCCTACACATAATATCCTATAGCCGGTCGCCGCTTTCATCATGTGATAGGATAGAACGATTAGGTGAAGCTCCTACAAAGTAGGTAGTTGCTCAAGCCGGGATGTAGAAGACGAACAAAAAAGGATAAAGCTGTGTCTTGCTTATAAAATGAAGAGGTTCTACGGATATGGAGGATCCCGAGCCAATCGTCGCGCCAGCGTTTCGCCCCCAGGAGAAAAGACGCTCGATTTGCTACTCCTCCTCCTCCTCCATCATCAACCTCATCGTTCTCCATCGGCTGCAGGTCAGCCTGTACAGGTGGCAATTCATCAGATTTTTCCCACCCACCTCCCTCGGCACAACAGGCAGTTTTGGCAAGGGTAGAAGAGACTTGGAGGAATTTTTTTGGATTATCAGCGTTTGATTTGTTTTGTTTTCTTGTGCTTTATCGTATATAGTCCTGCAGGCAGAACCGAGCCTGGTATCCGAGCTTGAGCAGGTGGGCTATCAGGCGCACAGGCTCCACAGCCTCACAAGCATACACCCCTGATCTAGCTAGCCCCCTGTCTCACAAATCAAGCCTCGGAGACCCAGCTCGATCGGAGCCTACGCCACCAAATCAAGCAGTAAAACTACTACTCTGCCCCCTTCACTTGCTACCTACCTACACATGGGTCGGAAGACAACGTAGATGGCCAAAAATTCATCCAAAGGAGAGAGAATTGGGGAAAAAAAAAGAACAAAAGATGTCGCGTGTGAGGGCCGAACCGGAGTCGAACCGGTGACTTCGGGAAACCAGAAACAAACTGCAGTCCTACACTCTACCACTGAGTTACCGGCCCAGAGCTGCGAATATAATAATAATTTGTAGTTTGTAAATTTATATAGTACACAATAAATGAGCATCAGATCAAGCACACAGTGGAAGTATCGAGTGCTTTGACTCGGTTCAGCCTTCGGTTGGCGCTGGCTGCAACGTCATCAATTCGGATTACGCGAGTTGCTGAGGTCCACGCTAAGCTGAAAGCGGCACATCAACATGGAAAATGGCCCTTGCAGCTGAGACAGACTTGCATTCCAATCAACGTCGGTGATGATTGGAGTTACTAATGTCTCGTTTGATTTGTATGTGTGTTCTCATGTATAATGTTTCGTAAAAGGATATAAAATCGTTTGCCTGTAGCAACCCAACGTACCAGGCGCACGGCGCATTCCAAATTTAGGCGGACATTCAAGAACCACTGTTCTCATGAGCGAAACTGTGTCAGATAATTCGTATTTTCCCTGCTTCGAGCTGAGCTGTCGAGTGCAATAGAAAATGCATCGACTGTGTGTCGGTAGTACTCGCCTAGACTGGCCTCAGGGTCTGCAGTGAGCCTATATATTCAGCTACGCATCCCTACACATCCTATACATCCCTACGTATCCGTACAATCCCTACCTTTTGACTTCGGGGCTGATTACTGACGAGGACTGTCATCAACCCGACCGCTGCTGGAGCTTCCTAGCCTAATCCAGAAGTGGCAGTTCAGTGCGGGGCCGGCGTTTGACCGAGGCACCCAAGCTCTCTTGTGATCGCGCGTAGAGAACGACGTGAGAATCGATACGTGTATTTAAGGGGCTCTCGCCTTGCGCCTATCTCAACCGCAACGGAAAGCGCACTGCTACCTCTGTGTCGACTTTAGAAGACCGATCTAGGACATTAACGCAGCGCGTCAGCCCGACTTCGCCATGGCCCAGCTCCCTCCCTTCGAGCACACGCCGCTCGACAGCATCGCATCCACCGTAAAGGGCATTCGTACGAGCTTCCTGTCGCACAAAACAAGGCCTCTGGAATTTCGACTTGTTCAGCTGCGCAAGCTATATTGGGGGTAAGCTCCTGTGGCCGCCAGTCCTCCTCTTTGCTGACCCAGATTGCTCCAGCCTCAAAGACAATACCGACCTCATCCTTGAAGCATGCAAGAAGGATTTGGGCAAGTCGCAATTCGAGACGTATCTCACCGAGGTCGGCTGGTGCATGAACGACATCGTTTTCATGTCCAATAACCTCGCTCGCTTCGCAAAGGACGAGGCGCCTCCAGACATTGCCCTCACGAACAAGCTCTTTGGCCCCAGAATCAGGAAGGATCCATTGGGCTCCGTTCTTGTTATCGGGTAAGGAGTGTGGGCATCATTCGCGACATGACTCTGCTAACCCTTATTGTGTAGGGCTTACAACTTCCCCATCCAGCTCTCTATCGGTCCCCTCATAGGTGCCATTGCCGCAGGATGCACTGCTGTCCTCAAGCCTTCAGAAAGCGCCCCCAACGCCGCTGCCATCATGCAAAAGATTGTGGCCGAATCCCTCGATCCCTCCTGTTACACCGTCATCCAGGGCGCAATCCCAGAGACAACGGCTCTATTGGACCAGAAATGGGACAAGATATTCTATACGGGCTCGGCAAACGTTGGAACTATCATTGCAAAGAAAGCCGCGGAGACTCTCACGCCCGTCACATTGGAGTTGGGAGGACGCAACCCTGCAATTATCACAAAACATGCCGACCCGAAGCTTGCGGCGAAGAGGTTACTCTGGGCGAAGACGCTGAATGCAGGCCAGGTTTGCGTCTCGCAGAACTTTACCTTGATCGACAAGGAAATTGTTCCAGTCGTCATCAAAGAGATGAACAATACCCTGAAGGAGTTCTATCCTCAAGGCGCGAAGAACTCGCCCGACTATGGCAGGATCGTCAATCTGAGGCAATTCCAACGACTAAAGAAGATGTTGGATGACTCCAACGGCAAAATTGTGGTTGGTGGCACCATGGACGAGCAGGATCTTTTCATCGAACCCACAGTGGTTCAGGTCAACAGCATGGAAGACAGCCTGATCAAAGACGAGAGCTTCGGTCCTCTTCTGCCTATTTTACCAGTCGCAGACCTTGACGAGGCGATCAAGATTGCAAATGAGGTCCACGACACACCGCTCGGTGTCTACTCCTTTGGCAACAAACAGGAGATGGAGAAAGTCCTCTCCCAGACACGCTCAGGAGGCGCCTCGCTCAACGACGGCTTCTTCCACGCTTCCATTCCAACATTAGCTTTTGGCGGTGTAGGAACTTCAGGCCAGGGTGCCTATCGCGGCAAGGCATCCTTCGATGTCTTCACGCACCGTCGTTCCATTACTACGACCCCGGCCTGGATCGAGAGCATGCTTGACATTAGGTACCCGCCTTACACACTGAAAAAGCAGCAGAAGTTCCAGGGTATGAACGAGTTGAAGCCGAACTTTGACCGCAATGGCCAAACCTTGGGTTGGTTTGCGTGGATGCAGGGATTGCTGGGCCTGAAGACCGTGGCCGCTGTTGTTGGTAAGTGAGACCGGTGATATGACATCCCTTTTGCAGCAATGTTGGCCTGTATCTTTCCCTTGCACTATACCATAGACTTTGCAAATCATTCTATCATTGTTGTGTACGCGTCACTTTTCAATTTTACTGGTTTTCGCGGTCGCCTTGCGTAATCTTTGTACAGGACACTGACAATCGTACAGCCGCAGTAGCTATTCGCGTGTATCTACAGCGTAGGGCAAAGCTTTAAGGGGCGTTTCGCGAAGGATGCCGTATGTTTAGGCTTGTATCATATCCGAAGTCCGCTTTCTCGTCTATTTTTAAATCCTACGGTTTACAAGGGGAGTGGGCCAATGAAAAAGTTCTTTGCAACACCATTCTCATTCTGCAACCATCCCTCTTTCGATTTCTTCAAGAAGACCCACCAAAGCGATCCTCGGTTTGGCTCCAGGCTTAGTTTCAAGCATCCCCGCATCTCGAATAGACGATGAGTGGACCTAGAGGAATTGGTAAGTCTGGTCCTGGATGCCGAATTTACTTTGGCCAATATGAAAATTATATCCCCGCATGCAAGGCTCATCCGAAGTATTCAAGAACGCGGCCGTCCCAATGTAATGGACAATCGTGACCTTTGATTATAGGTATCTTCCTAACAATCCATGCGCCGACCCCGTCCCACCCACTTCGCCATTCAGGGTATCAAGTTCCCGTCCTTTTCGCCAATTTAATCCGCAGGTAACACCTCTCACGCCCACCCTAATTCAACTTCTTATCCCCGATCTTGACAGTATTGCCCTGCTTCTTCTGGTACTGCAAGAAGCCCACAAACGCTGCAGCCAGCACGCCCAGGATGAGCAAATTGCCTGTCTCACCGTCAGTACTCGAGCATATAGCTAGCACTCGTGCAACTCACCGACAACAAACTCGACTATGCCGCCCGCGAGATCGACCAGTCCCTTGAAGAACTCAATCACGACGTTGACGGCGACTTCGCAGATGTGCAGACCGAAGCCGAGCGTGCGCTGCACGAGGTGGCCGGCCGTGGTGATGAAGGACCAGATTACTTCGAAGACGGATTGGACGAGGTCGGACAGGGAGGAGATGATGGAGGACATGTTTGCTTCAGAACTTTGGTGGAATCGAACTGATTGCTTGGGTCAATGTTTAGAGTGTAGGAGTATCGATTGAGGAATGCAGCTATGTTGGTTGTAAAAGGTGCGTGGGGCCGATGTTGGAATGGCAGCTACGTGGTCTTTTAAAACGCGACGCGCGCCCGACGCGGTAGGAGCCTGCGATGATGTCTTTGGTAGGTCATGCGGCGGCGGCGGCCTGGGCCGATCGTGCTTGTTTGCGTGGGCTCGCTTGCGGCTGCGTGCCTTGGTGGCGCGGGCTGGGGGGCGTCGTTTGGTTGGGTGAAGGGCGGTTACACGGGGTATGACGTATGCGGGGGAATGGGGGCGCAAGGGCGAAATGGCGAATTCTTGATTTGGCGCAAATGCGATCTGTCTAGATGGGATGGATGTCGCGCTTGGGGGGTTTCGGGACACGTGGAAGGCGGTGTGGGTAGAGATGGGATGGTGAAGGTGGATTGTGCATGGCATGGCTACTTGATCTAGAAGTCGCAGCTCTTTGCGAGAGCCTCGACGTCTCTCAATGTCTCCTGCCTCATATCAAGGCACGTTTTCATCCTACCTAGGCTATCACTTCCAAGCAGCACTCGCAGGACTTTTCCAATGCCCTTTCCCTTCAGCGCCTCTCCATATCCGGTATCGCTGATGACCTCCCACATTCTCTCTGCTGCTTTCTCTGGGTCGCCCGGCTGTTTCCCATTGTACTCTCGCATGCGATTTATGATTAATGTTGCCGGGTTGTCGCCCTGATAGTCTTCGATCCATTCGCGTCCTCCACCAGGAAGGATAAGATTTGTGGAAGTCAGAAACTCGGTACGGAACGCTCCGGGCTCGACGAGGATCATACGAATGTTGAAAGGAGCCAGTTCGACTGCCATGCTCTCAGTGGTGCCCTCCAGTGCAAATTTGCTGGCGGCGTATGTCCCAACACCAGGGAGTCCATTGATGCCTGCCACTGAACTCAAGTTCATGATGGTGCCGCTTCGCCGTTTTCGCATGTCTGGGAGCACGGCTTTCATCAAGGCGAGTGGTCCAAAGTAACAAGTATCCAACTGATACTTCGCTTCTTCCATCGACACTTCCTCTACTGGACCCATGATGGAATAGCCGGCGTTATTGATGAGAGTGTCGATAGGACCATGTTTCTTCTTGATCCCTTCTATGACTAACGGGATCTTATCGAGATGTGTGACATCCAAAGTAACGGGATGAAATTTGGAGGAGACCGAGGACAATCGTGACAGTGCATCGGCCGCTCGCGAGGGGTTTCGGATGGTGCCGATGACGGTCGCCCCTTGCTTCAGGGCATGGACTGCGAATAGCAGCCCGATACCAGAGGAGACGCCTGTGATCAAGACGGTGGGAGGCGACATTATGAGGAAG